TTGCTTTTTATAAGTAAAGTGAATGATCTTAACATACACAAAATGTCTTGTTTTGAAGAATAAAAAAACGAATATAAAATTTTTGTATAAATTATTTTCTTTAGGTTTTCAAAGATCACCTTACTACAAAATCGCTGTTTCTTTTAATCATTGATATATTACTTTAAATTAAATTTTAATAAAAGTGTAGAATTTTTAATGGACAAATGTTTAGAGAAAAATTACCAAAAAAAAGCGTTTTTCGATTATCTGACTGCGACTAATCCCTTAAAGCGTTCCGTTAGTACTCGTTAATTCAAATGATAACATAAATGGTTGTTGTTTTGAATAATTATGCGGGGAGGGCTCTGCCTAAAAAATTTGGAACATTTTTTATTTAATATAATGTCTCATTATAAATATGTAATTCTAGTGACAGTAGCAGTTCTGACAGTAGCAGTTCTGACAGTTGTGAGGATAGTTCTCAATATTGTGTAGAACTTTGCTGTGATAAGGAAGAAACGACTTTAGCACCAGGACCATCACCAGGACCAGCACCGGGATCAGCACCGGGATCAGCACCGGGATCAGCATCGGAATCAGCACCGGAATTAGACCCGGGATCAGCACCAGGACCAGCAAAACAGATTGTAGAAAGCATAAAAAAAGAGTTAAAAGAAAAACAAGACGAATTAGTTGTCAATAAGAAAAAAGAACTGGATGCGCAAATTGTTGTAAATAATGACGCAAGAGAATTAGACAAGGTATTAGATCAAGTACTTGAACTACGTCAACAAGAAAGAAATGAGGATAAAAGTGTGAACGTGCATGGTGATAACGTTAATGATTTGATTACTTTACTGGAAAATAACAAGAAAAATGTAGAAAAGTTAGATAATGCAAAAAAAGACGTAAAAACATTAGAAAATGAAATATCAGATATAATTAAAAAATTATCTGCACCACAAGCAATTTAGTTTACAGAAAGATTAGCCCAAATGACGATTAGGTTAAAAAAAAATAAAGTTTAATATAAATTAAAATTAGATTGAGGGGAAATTTACTTATATCGATGTAATAATCATTAATATTTTGTAGTAAGTGTATAATAATATTGATAATAGGTGTAACATTATAGCCTAATGAGTGGTCAAGTGTACACTTCTTTAACAAGTAAATTCCCCCTCGAATTAGATTAGATACAGATAAGGCCATATTCTATATGTATTATGATTTTACTAATTATTATATGTTTTATATTCTTTATTATTATTAGTTTTGGATAGGTTATAAGTATTTTAAATATTTTTATATTTCTCTCTTGTTTATAGGATTTTTAGTTTTTTCGTTTATTCTATTTTTAATTGCTGTTCTTATGGTTTTCTTGTGACATAATAAATAAATTATAATTAAAATAACTGTGTATTCTATGAAAAAAAATATTAAATTTTTGGAAAATCAATCTACAGCACGAAATTTTTTTTTGTTAAAGTAGTATAGTAAATGTGCAATATTATTAAATTAAGAAATTCAATTAGTATTTACTTAGTATTTTATTACGTTATTGCTTAGTTCTCATTGAAACCTAATTTTACTAAATTAAATTTTTGTACTTAATTTATATATATATATATATATATACCTATATTACAAAAAGATATCGCCGCCGCATTAGCCGAAAGTTTTGATCGTTCATATGAACGAAATATTTTTTTCCATCTATAAATTATTAAAAATTATGATGACTATGTAAAATAAAACAGTAAATAAAACAATAATTAAATTAATAACTTCTTTTTAGATATTTTGAACAATATTTTGTAATAAAATTCGTACTTAAAGAAATTGCAAAAAAAATTTCGTTCATATGAACGTTCAAAATTTTTGACTTATGCTGCCGCCGCTGTTTCAAGACTCTAAATATAGCCGCAAGCCCCCCCCATCCCTTTCCCCTCTTTCCATCCCTTCAAAAATGACCTAAATTTAGAGGTTAAGATCGTTTCAAAAATCTGAATATAGTCGCAAGTACCCCCTCCCCACCAAAAATGACCTAAATTTAGAGGTTAAAATCGTTTCAAGACTCTGAATATAGCCGCAAGTTTCTCCCTCCCATCACCCTCTAAAAATAACCTTAATTTAGAGGTTAAGATCATTTCAAGACTCTGTATATAGCCGCAAGTCCCTCCTCCCCTTCCCTTCTTCGCCACCTCAAAAATCAAGGACATATGTCAAAAACCAAAGATTTCGAAAGGGTTGAGACATACATAACATATGAAAACTTATTCCGTTCCAAATTAACTTTTTAATTGCAGAATAGATGAAAATTTAATTTACGGATGCAGGTTAATATATAGTTTATGTTGATATTAAAATGTAAATAAATTTCTGCAGTTCAAATGTAAAAACATTTGGAATCGATCCCCCATGAAAAAATGAATATTTTTTGAAAATGTTGAACATCGCCGCCATCTTGGACTACAAGTGGAAAATTTTTTTTTTCATATTCTTCAATAAGTTATTTATAATAAGTAAACAAAAATTTCTGAATAAATGTCATGGTTTTTTTTAGAAGTACATCCTAAAAAAGACTTCTTTTTCCCTGTTTTGAACTGGAATGTCCCCTTAACCATTGAAATTACTTAAAATTTCATCGTTTAATTGTATTTTACATTTATCAGAAATTTTTTTTTTAATTTTGAATTTTATTCAATTACAAAATTTTTTACTTTTCTATACAAAGAATTTCTTGTTCTATTTTTATTCGTAAAAAATTTCAATCTTAAAATTTCAAATTAATTATATTAGATTTACATTGAAATTAAAATTGTGTAATTTAAATAATTACAATTGCATTTTTTAGTATAAATAACTTCTTGCTCTCTTTTTTGTTTCTGTAAAATTTTTAATTTGAAAAATCTGTTTAAATTGGGTTAACATTGAAATTCAAAATATGAAATTTAAATAATGTAACCAACTAATGAAATTATTTACCATTATTTACCATTTATTTTTATCGTTTAATTGTATTATAAGTTTTTTCATTCAATTTCAAAGTTTTTAAATTTTCTGAAATTTAGATACAGTGGATGTCCCAGTTACTGTCCACCTAAGACCTAGTTTCCGTCCAGTTTAATTTTCAAAATAACATTTATAAAAAAATTATTTTCTTTTATTTGTTTACTTAAACTAATAATAATAATAATAACTAATATTAAACTAATTTATTCCTTTTGGCACGCAATCGACTTATTAGTTTAAGTAAACAAATAAAAGAAAATAATTTTTTTATAAATGTTATTTTGAAAATTAAACTGGACGGAAACTAGGTCTTAGGTGGACAGTAACTGGGACATCCACTGTATCTAAATTTCAGAAAATTTAAAAACTTTGAAATTGAATGAAAAAACTTATAATACAATTAAACGATAAAAATAAATGGTAAATAATGGTAAATAATTTCATTAGTTGGTTACATTATTTAAATTTCATATTTTGAATTTCAATGTTAACCCAATTTAAACAGATTTTTCAAATTAAAAATTTTACAGAAACAAAAAAGAGAGCAAGAAGTTATTTATACTAAAAAATGCAATTGTAATTATTTAAATTACACAATTTTAATTTCAATGTAAATCTAATATAATTAATTTGAAATTTTAAGATTGAAATTTTTTACGAATAAAAATAGAACAAGAAATTCTTTGTATAGAAAAGTAAAAAATTTTGTAATTGAATAAAATTCAAAATTAAAAAAAAAATTTCTGATAAATGTAAAATACAATTAAACGATGAAATTTTAAGTAATTTCAATGGTTAAGGGGACATTCCAGTTCAAAACAGGGAAAAAGAAGTCTTTTTTAGGATGTACTTCTAAAAAAAACCATGACATTTATTCAGAAATTTTTGTTTACTTATTATAAATAACTTATTGAAGAATATGAAAAAAAAAATTTTCCACTTGTAGTCCAAGATGGCGGCGATGTTCAACATTTTCAAAAAATATTCATTTTTTCATGGGGGATCGATTCCAAATGTTTTTACATTTGAACTGCAGAAATTTATTTACATTTTAATATCAACATAAACTATATATTAACCTGCATCCGTAAATTAAATTTTCATCTATTCTGCAATTAAAAAGTTAATTTGGAACGGAATAAGTTTTCATATGTTATGTATGTCTCAACCCTTTCGAAATCTTTGGTTTTTGACATATGTCCTTGATTTTTGAGGTGGCGAAGAAGGGAAGGGGAGGAGGGACTTGCGGCTATATACAGAGTCTTGAAATGATCTTAACCTCTAAATTAAGGTTATTTTTAGAGGGTGATGGGAGGGAGAAACTTGCGGCTATATTCAGAGTCTTGAAACGATTTTAACCTCTAAATTTAGGTCATTTTTGGTGGGGAGGGGGTACTTGCGACTATATTCAGATTTTTGAAACGATCTTAACCTCTAAATTTAGGTCATTTTTGAAGGGATGGAAAGAGGGGAAAGGGATGGGGGGGGCTTGCGGCTATATTTAGAGTCTTGAAACAGCGGCGGCAGCATAAGTCAAAAATTTTGAACGTTCATATGAACGAAATTTTTTTTGCAATTTCTTTAAGTACGAATTTTATTACAAAATATTGTTCAAAATATCTAAAAAGAAGTTATTAATTTAATTATTGTTTTATTTACTGTTTTATTTTACATAGTCATCATAATTTTTAATAATTTATAGATGGAAAAAAATATTTCGTTCATATGAACGATCAAAACTTTCGGCTAATGCGGCGGCGATATCTTTTTGTAATATAGGTATATATATATATATATATATAAATTAAGTACAAAAATTTAATTTAGTAAAATTAGGTTTCAATGAGAACTAAGCAATAACGTAATAAAATACTAAGTAAATACTAATTGAATTTCTTAATTTAATAATATTGCACATTTACTATACTACTCTAACAAAAAAAAATTTCGTGCTGTAGATTGATTTTCCAAAAATTTAATATTTTTTTTCATAGAATACACAGTTATTTTAATTATAATTTATTTATTATGTCACAAGAAAACCATAAGAACAGCAATTAAAAATAGAATAAACGAAAAAACTATAAATCCTATAAACAAGAGAGAAATATAAAAATATTTAAAATACTTATAACCTATCCAAAACTAATAATAATAAAGAATATAAAACATATAATAATTAGTAAAATCATAATACATATAGAATATGGCCTTATCTGTATCTAATCTAATTCGAGGGGGAATTTACTTGTTAAAGAAGTGTACACTTGACCACTCATTAGGCTATAATGTTACACCTATTATCAATATTATTATACACTTACTACAAAATATTAATGATTATTACATCGATATAAGTAAATTTCCCCTCAATCTAATTTTAATTTATATTAAACTTTATTTTTTTTTAACCTAATCGTCATTTGGGCTAATCTTTCTGTAAACTAAATTGCTTGTGGTGCAGATAATTTTTTAATTATATCTGATATTTCATTTTCTAATGTTTTTACGTCTTTTTTTGCATTATCTAAATTTTCTACATTTTCCTTGTTCTTTTCCAGCATATTAATCAATTTATTAAGGACTTGATCAGGCACTTTCACAATGTTACCCTCATTTCCATTTTGATGAAGTAGGTTATATACTTGTTTATATACCTTATTGTCTAATTCTCTTACGTAATTATTTACAACATTTTGCGCATTCAGTTCTTTTTTCTTATTGACAACTAATTCGTCTTGTTTTTCTTTTAACTCTTTTTTTATGCTTTCTACAATCTGTTTTGCTGGTCCTGGTGCTGATCTCGGGTCTAATTCCGGTGCTGATTCCGATGCTGATCCCGGTGCTGATCCCGGTGCTGATCCCGGTGCTGGTCCTGGTGATGGTCCTGGTGCTAAAGTCGTTTCTTCCTTATCACAGCAAAGTTCTACACAATATTGAGAACTATCCTCACAACTGTCAGAACTGCTACTGTCAGAACTGCTACTGTCACTAGAATTACATATTTATAATGAGACATTATATTAAATAAAAAATGTTCCAAATTTTTTAGGCAGAGTCCTCCCCGCATAATTATTCAAAACAACAACCATTTATGTTATCATTTGAATTAACGAGTACTAACGGAACGCTTTAAGGGATTAGTCGCAGTCAGATAATCGAAAAACGCTTTTTTTTGGTAATTTTTCTCTAAACATTTGTCCATTAAAAATTCTACACTTTTATTAAAATTTAATTTAAAGTAATATATCAATGATTAAAAGAAACAGCGATTTTGTAGTAAGGTGATCTTTGAAAACCTAAAGAAAATAATTTATACAAAAATTTTATATTCGTTTTTTTATTTTTCAAAACAAGACATTTTGTGTATGTTAAGATCATTCACTTTACTTATAAAAAGCAATCATTTTCATTTAAAAACAAAAAAAATGTTTTTAACAAATTTGTTGTATTTCAAAAAATAAATAGAAATATATAAAAATAATAGCAATTATATAAAATATAGATTATTCTTTTTTAGTTCTTACTAAAAAAAAACTTTGCCTTATAATTTTCACAAAAAAAAATTATTTAAATTAAAAAGTTTAATTACCTATCTGGTGAGCGTTTGACTAACAATTTTGTAAGTTGCTCCTAAAAATAAAAAACAATGTACAATTAATATTAAGATTGAAAATTCATTTTTTTGTATGAATTAATGATAAAGTAAATTAATTAAAAATTTGAATTTTAAATATACGATACAACATTATCTGATTTAAAACGTTGCAAAATAATATTTAAAATATTAAAAGTGTAAACGAAATACTAAAGAAAATTGACAAATTCAGACAATTTTTAGCGTTGGTTTACTGCAATTCAACAAATCTTATACAAACTAACTTTATATTGCAGCTGTGCAATATTATTGTGTTCAATAATAATTTATATTTGATTTTAATTAAAAACATAATTATGTAAATATAGTTTAAAATCTATCAAATAATATATATATTTTTACATTAAATATATTATTTACATTAAATCAACTAGAAAATATGATTTAAGCAAATTTAAATATTTTCAACTGTATATCAATACTAAAATAAGGTTGAATTATATATGTATAATATATTTGTTTAAAAAATATCGTATAAAAAAAAAGTATTTTATCTGAACAATTATTTTATTGGTGCAAATTTAATTAATTTATAATTTCAAAATATAACAAATATATCAGATATCATACATTTTCCTACGTTAAAAATACAATCGTCAAAAAAAACTCAAAATTACTGTTGCTTTATGGTGTTTTTACTGTTAGTTTCGTGGGCTTTTAAGCAACTTTTAAATATTTTCCAATTTAAAAAAAATCATATACAGGTATATTTTTTCACTTTGGGATAACTTTGGAGAAATCAAAGAAATACATTTTTGACTAGTATTATTTTTGACCATACTAGAATATATTTATACTACGATAAAAAGTTTATTCGAAAATGAAATGAAAATTAATAATAAAAACTTACATTTTTCAATAAAGATTGGATGGTCCCTGCTTCAGAAGATATCAAAGTAATGAGCAGAATGCCAAACAAAATGGAAAATATTTGAAAATTGTTCATTTTGTTTGTTATACAATGTCTTGTACTAAGATGATATTTGTCGTGTTTGCTTTCGGTTTATATACGAAAATCCTTCTTTGTTCTTCAAAAATTTGATAATAACTTTTTAAATAATTTATTTTATTCTCCAAATTCGAAACATCGTGACATTAAAAAAATTGATTAGGCACACATTATTTCAATTATGATTATGAATTTATATGATAAGCATGTACACGAATATAATTATTTTTTAATTTTGTACATTTTTATATACAAATTGACTCATAATTTCCATGAATATGTGAATGAGGAATTTCTTATCAATATATATTACAAAAGGGCCAATAAAATATTAGAGCCCAACGATTCAAAATGAAATGATAGATTGTTTAGACAATAAAATGTTAATTCATAAAATTAAGGCAAGCTCTTTTTTTCTTGCATATTTGATACAACTCAAAATATTAAGAAAATAGAATCAATTGAGTTTAGTACTTAGGTACTGTAAAATCCTGTGAAAAGAAACTGGACAAGCATTTGACTTTGAAATTAACGAAATTTTCTCGATTGGGAGAGACTATTATTCCATAGGCATCATCAATTAGCGAATACCTTTTTCATTGTTCTCTTTGTTATAATATCAAGAATGATCTACATTATTGGAATGTTCGATAACACATTTTTTAAATAAAGTAAACTAAACAAAAAAGAATCACTCACGACGAATGCCAATGTGTTTAAAAATTTCGTATAATGAAAACATTGATTAATATTATCATCAACAAGTGTGATTTATATTACCGAAAAGAAAAATTTTCATGCATAAAATTTAATTAAAAAATGTCTTTAAAAAATATTTTTAAGTATTCAATAGATGGAAAAATAAAAATTATTATTCTCATTGATATGTAGTAATTTTCATAAGATAAAAGTAGTAAGTAGGCAACTTTGGCCCAAATTCAATCAGTAATTTATTTAATTGCCTAGTTATTAAACTAATTGCCTGAAGAGTCTTCGGCAAATAGAAAATTGACGAATATTCTATAGCAGATTCTATAACTATAGTTAATTGATTATGAACATTAGAAATAGTTTATTGATGAAAATGCAACACTGGAGGAAAATTGTATTGTATCAAGAAAACCCATTTACTTATCTATATTTGATTCATCATTTTCTTGATCGAAGAATATTTTACTAGTTTGAAGTAAATGAAAATTAGTGAATCAAATACTAGCTCTTTTTAAAAAATTTGAAAATGTTTTTATAAAATTTCATATTTATTTTCTTTCCATGTAGAAGATATAAAAATAATAAACAGAAAGCTAAGCAATATTGAAAATATCTAAAACTTATTCCAAATTCAGAAAATTGTGACATTTCAATTTTCATTTATATAATGATAAACATGTATAAATAATTACTTACTATTTAATTTTTTACATTTTCCATGGATTACTCTTCAAACGGAAAAGAAATTTGATAAAATAACATCTATATACATTTGACTTCTAATTTCTATGAATATGTATGTGAGAATTTCATGTTAATATTAATTATAATAATCATATAAAATAATTCATATTCCTCACGTCACCGTTACGTACTTATAAATAAATAAACACAAATAATAAAATAATTTGAATTACATATGCTTTAAACTAAATAAAAAGAATAAATACAAAAATAGTAACTTAATTAACATTAAAAATTTTTGTAATTATAATTAAAAATTTGACAATAAAGTTTGTGCATGAAAATGCGATACAGTGTGAAATGAATAAATACTTGATTATTTTAAAGAATGCTTGTCGATTTATTATAATAGAAGTAAAATTTGATTACAAGCCATAATCTTTGGAGATACTGGTCATTTACATTTTTCTTTGCACCCACTTTCTTACAAATCCCACTTTTCTCTCGTCACGTGTCTTTCGCGTTGCGTGGTTCCAAATTTAAGGACACCACTATCATTCTACATGCTGCTATACAGTTAAACTCTCAACATACTCCCCCTTTTGAAATGCTCACGTTGATTAACATTAACAAAGAGACATTTCAACATAGAATGCACTCAAGAACACATATTAAATTCTTCAATCATTTTCATCGTCAATTGGAAGTACACAAATTTTAGGCAACGCTCGCTTAACAATACCCAATGACGTTCTTGCACTCACCACTCTTACTCTTCCATCATTACCCGAATGCAACTCCACTATTCTGCCTAATCGCCAACGCAATGGCGGCGCATTATCGTCCCTGATAACGATCATTTGCCCAATTTTAACATTTTCAACCTCTCTCTTCCACTTAAAGCGAGACTGCATTTGAGTCAAATACTCGCATGACCACCGCTTCCAGAATGACTGCTGCATCTGACATAAGAGCTGAAAACGATTTAAACGATTTAACTGAATATCTAAATGATTTTTTTCTAAGATTGAAGTAAATGAAGACCCGATCAAAAAATGACCAGGCGTAAGTGGAGTCAAATCATACGGATCTGTTGACTGGGAACAAAGCGGACGCGAATTCATTATTGACTCAACTTGCGTGAGTAAAGTATAAAACTCCTCAAAGGTCAACGGTGTGTCATTCAGCACTGTTCTCAAATGCGATTTCGCAGATTTCACACATGCTTCCCACAAACCTCCCATATGAGGAGAATACGGCGGAATACACTTCCACGAAATCGAGTTCTCGGCAACGAATTCCGAAATCTTAGCCTTGCTCTCAGATTCATTCAACAAACTCCTTATTATATCTTGAAGTTCATTTTTTGCTCCAATAAAATTTAGACCATTATCCGATTGTATAGATAGACATTTACCGCGGCGAGCTATGAATCGCTTAAGAGCATTCAGAAAAGTGTTTGTTGACAAATCAGAAGCCAATTCCAGATGCACAGCTTTCGTTGCCATACACACAAATACACACAAATATGCTTTTCCTGTAACATTTCGAGACAATTTAATTTTAAATGGACCTGCATAGTCTAATCCTGTGTGAGCAAAAGCTCGTGACGAAGTGACACGCTCGGCAGGCAAATTACCCATCAATTGAGTTGGACTTCTTGATCGCAATCGAAAACACAAAACACACCTTCGAAGTACACGACGTATTGCACAATTCGCTGAAATAATCCAATACATTTCTCGTAGAACACCTTTCAAAAACTGCGCACCTGCATGTAGATTTTTATAATGCATATTTCTAATTATCAATACCGTAAGCATGTGTTTAGTTGATAGGATAATAGGAAACTTTTGGGAATATGAAATTGGAGCATTGACTAATCTTCCCCCAACTCTCATCAATCCTTGATCATCCAAAAAGGGATTATAGGTAAGAATCTTGCTTGAAGAATTGATCGGTCTATTATGACGAAGATCAGCCAACTCTCTTGAAAATTCCTCCTCCTGATGCAACTTAAGCAACGAAATGCGAGCCCCTTCCAATTCTTCCGCAGATAAATGATCCTTGATAAGTGGGAAACCATCCCTCTTTCTCTTTAAATTATCCGAAAATCTTAAACAATATGCTGTGATTCGACACAACCTATTCCATGATGAATATCTACGAAAAATCGAAAAATCTCTCTCCACTGCGATAAATGTAAGAGCAGCCTTTTTTTCTTCCGGTATCTCTTTGACAGCGATTTCCTCATGCGGCCAATCATCCTTGATTCCACTCAACCACGACGGCCCATTCCACCAGAGACTTGACCTTTCCAGATCATCAAGTTCCATTCCTCTCGAGATCAGATCAGCAGGATTCTGATCTGTGCGCACATGATTCCACTGTTCTGGTGATGTCCATTGCTGTATTTCAGTGACCCTATTGCCAACGAAGATGTGCCACCTTGACGGGTCTGCCTTGATCCAGGACAAAGCCACCATCGAATCACTCCAAAACCAAGAATCCTTTATTTTTACCGTCAATGATTCCTTGACCTTGTGATGAAGATCAGCTAGTAATACGGCTCCACACAACTCCAGCCTCGGCAAACTCACCGTCTTCATTGGAGAAACCCTTGATCTTGCAGCGACAAGTCGCACCATCACTGATCCGTCATTGCTAATCGACCTCAAGTATATGCAAGCACCATATGCTACCTGGGATGAATCACAGAATCCATGTAACTCGATTTCCTGTGGTGATTGCACCAAAACATGCCGTGGAATTTTAATTTTTTTAATTTGTTTTAGCTGCTCACAATATAAGATCCATTGTTTTGCTACCTCAGTGGGAATGGGAACATCCCATCCTATTTTAAGTTTCCATAGACCTTGAAGCAGTATTTTCGATCGAACGACAAATGGTCCTATTAACCCCAAAGGATCGAAAACCTGCGCTATGACTGATAGAATCATCCTTTTTGTGACAATTTTTTCTTCACATTCGTAATTTGATTCATATGTTAGATAATCGCCTTCAGTTTGCCACTTTAAACCAAGAGTCTTGATTTCGGTAAGATCATGATTTCTGACTTCCATGTCCTTCTCAATTTTGTTTGAATAAATTTTCTGTAGTTCGAAACCAGCAGATTGTAATACCGCCTTGACTTCATCCACAATAGCGTCAATTTCTTCTTCAGTTTCTCCCCCAGAGAGCATGTCATCCACATAAAAATCCTCTCTAATAACTCGTGAGGCAAGTGGATGTGTGTTTCTACATTCCTCTGACAGCTGAAGCAAACACCTTGTGGCCAGATAAGGAGACGACGCTACTCCAAATGTCACGGTGTTAAGTTGGTATGTTATCATGGATTGATCTGGATCCTTCCGCCATAAAATGCACTGCAGATTCCTATGCTCTGGCTTGACCCAAATCTGGCGATACATCTTGACTATATCACCAGTGACCACGAATTTGTGTTGTCTGAATCGAAGAATGATCAAAAACAATTCCTGCTGAACAACTGGACCAACCATTACACAATCATTCAATGAGATTCCCGATGTTGTCCTGAATGAACCATCCAACACCACTCTGACCTTGGTAGTAGTACTGGATTCTTTAATGACTGCATGGTGCGGTAAATAGTTCATGAAACCAGTCTCCTGATCCAATATTCGAGTCATATGACCCAACTCAAGAAACTCATCCATATATTCTTGATACCTCAACTTTATGTTTTGATCCTTTCGAAAACGCCTCTCCATGGACAATAGTCGTTTCTCAGCTCCCGACCTAGATTCACCTAATGATCTTACATCCTTCTTCAATGGTAAGCTAACCTCAAATCTGCCGTCTTCTGCACGCCTGAATGTTTCAGAGAAATTGCTTTCGCACTCCAATTCCTCCGCAGATTTAATGCGAGCAACTGGAATCTCATTGATTTCCCAAAACCTCTTCATATGATCATCCAAATTTTTGTCAGTTGAGAGTCCACAGAAAAGAGTTGTCGTTTGTTTTTGATTATGTGCCTCAGGAAATGTCAAATATCCACCTAAGATCCACCCGAATTTGGTCAACTGAAGTACGGGATGACCTTGACCCGGTCTAATTTGCTGTGCCTCCATTGAATCCCAAAATATGGCAGTGCCTAAAAGAAGATCAATCGGTTGAGGATCATGGAAATTAGGATCTGCAAGTTTCACATGCTCAGGAATTGATAATCTGTCTAAACTTATTTTTGTTGTTGGTATACAATGCGAAATATTATTCGTGACAAGAAATTCAGCACGGACCCTATAATCGGTCTTAATTGATACAATGGTAGTCAACGTACATGACATTACTGATGTTTGCGTTAAGTTTATTCCCGATACAGCATGCATGATATTTTTTTTCTTTAGATTTAATTTTTTACAAAGTTCTTCAGTCATGAAATTAGCCATTGAACCATTGTCCAATAAAGCTCGCGCCCTAACTAACTGACCCAAATTATCCTTAACATAAATCACCGCAGTAGACAAAATCTTCTCGTTTGTATTTTTATTCGAAAACATATTTACAGACATGGTTGGTGTTTCCTCGTGATTGGCATTGGTTATGCATTGAGTCTCGTTTATTTTACCAATATGATAACTATTTGTCGCTTTGACTGTTGAATCCTTTTCTTTATGCAATAATGAGTGATGTGACGAGTTACAAATTCTACAACCTTTATTTGATTTACATTCACGCGCTGTGTGTTTTACACCTAAGCAATTGAAACATAATTCGAGTGCCTTCACTTTTTCACGTCTATCATCAATTGACAAATTCCGAAAAACTGAACATGAATAAATTCTATGATCCTGTCTACAAATGACACAGACAAATGACGAATCACCCGTGGACAAATGAGCTAATACCTTGTTATCTCGCTTCATACCCTGAGAAGAAACCATTTTAAAATTCGAATTTGAACTAACCCCTTGCGGTGTAATGACTTCTAACATTTGACACTTTAATTCTAAAAATGCAATGAAATCCTTAAGTTTTGATACCCTTTCCGATAAAGTTTTAAGTTCCCACTCTCGCTTAGTCGTATTATCTAATCTGGTAGAAGCTAAATACAACAACAAAGTGTCCCACGTGTCCACCGGCTCTTTTAACTGTTCCAAGATTCTAGTGTGTTTCTGCAAACCATCCGCCAAAACACGCAACGAGGTAGCCGATTCTCTTGTAACCATTGGGAGCTCGAATAATTGTTTTACATGGTAATTAATTATTAAACGCGAATTATGATAACGTTTCTTTAATAATTCTAAGACAATTGGATAATTTTGTTCAGTAACCTCAAATGAATCAATATATTCTTTCGCTGAGCCTGTTAATGCCGATTGTAAGTAATGAAATTTAGTTATTGCGTCCAATGCTACGTTTCTATCTACCACTGCGAGGAATGTGTCATAAAACCCCTGCCATTTTTCGTAACTCCCATCAAAAGTGGGGAGAGTGATTATGGGTAATCGCGCCTGTGATATTCCCCCACCGACTGTATTTACTGTCATGGCTGATTCTGGCCTACTCACTACACTTCGTCTACTCTCGTAAAATTGAGCCCTTTTTCGTTTAGCGATACTCTGCGTCTGAAAGAAAGCATTCTCGAACTGTTCTCGTTCTGTGTTTTCGGGAAGAGGCAAATATGCATCAATATCATCCTGGATATTGCTATATTCCGACCATAATAAGTCTAATTTATCTATGCGCGTTTCTAATTCAAAAATGGTCTCTTCCGACGCTTCATATCCCTCAATAAAATTCTTAAACCGCGTTGCCTTTGATTTTAAAATCGTGCGTTTCTTTTTCAAATCTGCTACCTCGGCCATTACGTTTACAAAATATATACACTAGACAGATACAATTCACACTTATATAAACAAAAATAGACGCTTACCAAATTCGTTAGATTATTTACAATCACAAATATATCTTTCATAAAACCTTTACAATAAAATCGAGCTGCTCTTGAATCGACATCAATATAAAAATTTCTCGTTTGAAAGTTGTTCCTTGTATTTTTCACCTCTTGTTCCAGATCTCCAGATAAATAAATAATTCGTCAGATAAAATGTTGAACCTCAGTTTTGTCAATCGTTAGAATAAAATGTTTGAGTATCTCCAGTTTAATAGTTTACAATGTTTCATGAATAATGGCGTCGCGTGCCCCTCGTGGTGATTAGATTTATTTCCTTGTAATTTTTCCACAACATCAATTAAATTATTAAATCACACTCCTTGGATATTAAAATCCGGCTTCGAAGGACCAAAAATGTGCATGAAAATGCGATACAGTGTGAAATGAATAAATACTTGATTATTTTAAAGAATGCTTGTCGATTTATTATAATAGAAGTAAAATTTGATTACAAGCCATAATCTTTGGAGATACTGGTCATTTACATTTTTCTTTGCACCCACTTTCTTACAAATCCCACTTTTCTCTCGTCACGTGTCTTTCGCGTTGCGTGGTTCCAAATTTAAGGACACCACTATCATTCTACATGCTGCTATACAGATAAACTCTCAACAAAGTTAATTAACGACAATAATTTAATAATAATGTTATTTCGAAAGTGTTAAATGTTTGAAAATTGTTTTTAGCAATGTTCAACAATACACAGAATAATATTTTATAGTTTTGTATAATTAAATTTTAAACCAAATGCATAATTACTAATTATTAAAATTTAATAAATTTAATATTTTTGATTAACCTTCACCTATATACTCAAAATGTTTATAATATCGTTAAATTATGCAATTAATTTTTAAAGAGTGGAACAGGTGCAATGAGGTAAGAAAATCTTGTGAAATAAAATAAACGCAAATATAAATCATTTCGCTACGTTTGCAGAATATTTTGTAATCGTCTGTTGTAAAAAAGTTATTATTAATAAATTCGTGAAATCAGCACAGAAAATAAAAAATATTTTTTTTAAATCGAAATATAGAAAAAACAATTCTATTAGACCACAGAAATGTTTCTACCAAGCGAAAAAAGAAAAAAATTTTTTTTTACAGAAGTTATTGCAAAATGATTTTTTTTTTGTCATTTTTTAAACAAATGCTTGTTTCTCGTAAACGAATGGACCGATTTCAATAAATCGAACGGCCACACAAAGAGGAGGAAATAGACTTCCGTTTAAAATTAAAAATTTTTAAAAAAATTAATTTTTTTTAATAATTTTTTAATAAATTGTTTATAAACAATGGAATTTTTTTTTATGCAAGATAATTTCTTTGAAACAAATAAATTTTCTTTGTATCAAAAAAAAATTTGTCAAAGAAACTGATTTCATTGAATCAAAGAACTCTTTATTCTCGGTGTAGGAGATGGTTTTTTTATATTTAATTTTTTTTTAATTTACTATAGCATGAACAATAACAAAACGAAAAATCAGAAAATAAAATCTGGATGCGCTGATAAATAAGTAAATAATTATATTTTTATTAAATTATTTATTAATTTTTTATTAAATTCAATTAGACTTATTGAAAACGCGTGCGCCAAAAGAATGGAAAAAATCAATATGTTATAAAAAAATATTTTTTTATTTTAAATATGAAAAAAATATGTAAATAAATAAATAAATAATAAAAAAAAATAATAATAATAAAAATATAATAGTAAAAATAATATTAGAATTAAATAATTAATTGGAATATAATTAATAAATAAATAAAAGTATATTTTTTGGATAACAAATTTTATTATAGAAATAATTGATAAATATATTATAACAACGACAATAATTGTCAACAAATAATACAGTTTATGTTCGCAATTGCTCATATTCATTGAATTGAAATATCCGAACAGGATTTAAAATTTTCCTGTGGTCCACAGCCAGTTTGTCCTTTACCATCATTGCATATACCCCATGAATTTCCCGTTATATATTCCCAACGAAATACACAATGTTTGCATGTTAATCCATTTGGTAGAATAACTTTAATGTTAATAATTCCCGGTCCTTTATTTTCCATATCGTAAGATTTATTGCCATCAGCTAATTTAAGAGGAATAAAACATTCCTCCTCTTCTAGTTCCTTATCGTATTTCAAAGGACAAAGATTGAATATAAAGTATCCTTTGTGAGCGGCAGAAATATTCACTTCTACGTCAATAATTTCACCTGATTTATATCTGCGGAAAATTCATTGTTCTCATTTTAGATTCGTCGCGAATAAAAATTTTAAACAAAAAAAAAAAACCTTATATTTTTTTTTATTTTTACAATTTCATTTTTCTCAACGAGAGAATATAACAAAAAAAGGATTATTATTTTTTTTTTTTTACGTTTTTACGATTGTTCCAGTTCCATAAGTTCCTCCATTTTCAGTTGGTCTTGGACGAGAAAGTCGATAATCATCGCCACAAATTCCACAATTTCCATTATTTATTGAATGCTGAATCTGAAAATTTTTCATTTGCAAAATAGTTAGTCTTTAGGGTTCCATACTCGAAGGGGGAACCCTAATTCAATTAATTATTTAATTGAACCAAATACGATTTATTTTGTTCAAATAAATGCGATTCAAGTTATTTGAATCAAATAAATATTTTTTCGATCTAAATAAAAAGTATTTGAACCAATTAAATATTTTTCAAATAATTTGAATTATTTGAATCAAATAATTTTTTTTTTTTCAGGATAGCGATTATGTATTTTGATTTAACTTTCACGTCAAAGTCATTTTCATTTTGACTTCGTTGTCATTTTTCGTAGTTTTACGTAAAATGATTGTTTTGATTTGTCAAATTGTAATATCCACAATTTATTTAGGAATTAAATTATAAAAAAAGTAAAGTAAGTAATTTTAAACAGTTGAAAAAGCGGTATAATTAAGGAATTTTTAAAAGTTTAATAATTAGGTTAAAATTATTTTAAAAAAAAATTATTTCATCTGTCAACGGTAAGTATTTTTTAATGTTGAAACCAGGGATATGTTATAATTGTTTTGAATAATGCCTTACTTACATTTTTATAAATTTAGTCAGAATAAAATAAACTAAAATATCAAAAACTAAAGAAGAAATTATGTCGTTTAAAAGACAATTAAAAACATAAAAAATTACTTACATTTGACCGATGAAATATTTTTTTTCCTAAAATAATTTTAACTTAAATTAGTTTCCTATACTGTTTTAAGCAAATTGACATTTTCTACATAATTTATTGATGTAATTTAAAATAAGAAAATGCTCAACATAAATTATTATTAAAAATACTCAATTTTTTGGCATAATGTAATTGCAATTAATTCCTAAACATAAATTCAGTAACGAGACTGTTATTTATATTTGTGTAAATAAAAATTAACGATTAATTTTATTTAAACTATAATTAATTATATATAAATAGTAATATTTAAATAATTCTTTCAATTTTTCCTCTTAACATATATGTGAATGAATAAATAAATAAAATAATATTAATGTTTTAATTATATTTCATAAATTAAAGTTTTTTTAATCTCTTACTTTTACTTAGTTTGTTTAAGTTATAAAAGTTTTTTTTTAAAAATCCTTGTAATGCTGTCTTGATCTTTTTAAAATTACTTACTTCACTTTTTCATCATTTAATTTCTAAATAAAGTTTTTATTCTTAAATTTTTAATAAAGGGAAAAAAGTAATTATACTTTAAAATTGTGGTTATTACAATTAGACAAATCAAAACAATCATTTTACGTAAAACTATGTAAAATGACATTTGACTACGAAGTCAAAATGAAAATGACTTTGACGTCAAAGTTAAATCAAAATACATAATCGCTACCCAGTGTATTATTTTCATTTTTTTACTTAATTAACAAACACCCACAAAAAAAAATTTTGTCCGGCAAAAGAGACTAGTCATTCTTACGTATTTTGGGTCACTGAATCCGAATCAGGGGGCAGAATTTAAAAGTTGGCTCTTATTTTTGAGATAAACTCAAAAAACTGTTTAAAAAAGAAAAAAAAAATCCAAAAGTGACAAAATTTTTGTATGACATTGCGATAGTGTAATTCCATGTATTTTTAGCCATTGATTCCAATAAACAAAAAATTAAAAAAAAAAAAACTCAAAATCAGTTTTTTGGCATTATCTTCAAAAATTTTAAGCTAATCTCTCAATTCTAATTTTGAATTCGAATTCAGTGGAAAATAGTACAATGTATATACATGGAAATACAATATCGTAGTGTTTCGGCAAAAAATTATCTCTGTCCCTAATTCAGGATTTTTATCAGATTTTTGCGATATCATCCAGAATCATTTCGGAAAGTATCTATTTTTTAAAAAATTAGGCCTTAACGACTTTTGATTAAAATATAAAATGGATTGAGCCAAAAATTTGTAATTACCTCTATTGCCATTTAAATGTTCGAAAATTCTTTACTTTTATGGTATAATTTTAATTTTAATACCCTAAAGTATTATGCAAATTATTATGTAAATTAAGTGTTGAAATTTAATTTTTTTTTAAATTTTTTGTCTTATTTTGTATACATACGTATTTTTGCGTATAGATTACAAAAAAAATATAGCGATCACCATTGGAGTTGATTATCAATGAAAGTAAAATAATTATATTAATAATAAATAATTATTATTTAGTAAAAAACTTTTTTGTTCAAAACAATTTATTTTAAAAATTGTATTTCAAAATTTGTTAGAATTAATTTTATTTATTATTTTTTAAAACAACTTTTTTAGTTTTGAAGTTATGTTAATGGGCTAAGAATCTTTAAGGAGGTTCAATTCATTAACATAAACTCAAAACTAAAAAAATTTTTTTTTTTTATAGAACTAAAAATATATTTAAAATTTATTACACCCAAATTCGACAGATCCAATATTGTACAAATTTTGGAAAAAACTTATTTTCAATTAAATTTTATTTTGTTTAATAATAATTAATAAACATTTTGTATTTTTTCTTAAAAGTTAGTGAACAATTCTAATTTTTATCCAATTTTTATAAACAATTACTCATTTTTCTCTTTTGAAAGATTCTCTGCAATTCTGATTTTGTGTTTTTGTTAAATAATTGTTTGTTTAAAAAATAGAAAAAAAAAATTTTATTTGTTTATTAACTTTTGAACAAAAATATTTTTCAATAAAATTCAACAAACAGAATTGTAGAAAATATTTCAAAGAGAAAAATGAGCTATTGTTTGTAAGAATTGTATAAAAATTACAATTTTTCACTAACTTTTAAGAAAAAATAAAAAATGTTTATTAATTATTATTTAACAAAACAAATTTTAACTGAAAATAATTTTTTTTCCAAAATTGTACAATTGAAACTGTTGAATTTGGGTGTAATAAATTTTTAAATTTATTTTTAGTTCTGTTAAAAACAACTTTTTAGTTTTGAGGTTATGTTAATGGGCTAAGAATCCTTAAGGAAAATAATTTAGTCACGAAAAAAAATGCAACTAAAATATTTCTATTATATATCCAGGAGAAATTATATATTTATCTCACAGTCTAATAAATATTTATTCCCTCACAACACAAGGATATTTAGGATATCCCTGGGACGTCCTGGGGATATCCATTTGCTTTTGGCGATTCGGATATCCCTAAGATATCCTCTGGATATCCATGGACATCTCTAAGATATCCCAGGGATATCCAAACCGCCGAAAAAAAATCGATATCCCCAGGACGTCCCAAGGATATCCTGAATATCCTTTTGTTGTGAGGGTTTGATTCAAATAAATTTTTATTTAATTAAATTTAATTTAATTTTCTTTTATTTTTAATAAAAAATTTTATATTTACGCTAAATAAATAGGCTATAATAGGCTGTGAGACAAATATACATTTATTTAACTCAAATATATTATATTTGATTCAAATAAAATATTTCTCAGGGTGATACAAATTGTATAGTGAAAAAAATTATTTTTCTTAAATTTTTTTTGAATAAAAAAACATTTTTTCCTTTTTTTTTACATAGTCTCACCTCTTTGCCACCACAGAAACCCTGATTATCAGTATAATTTGGAGGAGTTTTAAATCCCTTTCTCCATGCACTTAATCTATTCACAGGATCAGTTACTTTTCCATGGCCAAAAATTCCTTGTAAATTAATAACAAGAATGAAGGTTAAAATAAAAATTTTCATTTTGAAATAAAAAAAAAAAAAGTAAATAATTTTTCCAATTTATTGAGAAAAATTCCAATAAATTTGTTTATTGATTTCATATTGGAAGGCGTTTTCTTTTTATATGGTTCTTATAATAAAATTGGAAGGGGAATTATTCATTATTCAAAAAACAACTGTTTTATTTATTTTTTTTTTTTTAATGTTTATTTCAATATAATCTAAAGGAAAAAGTTATAAAAATATTAGCATTTATGACGATTGTCATAATAAGAAATTTTTTTTTCATTTATTTGCAATTCAGGTGTTACACTTTTGATGTCATGATGAAACAAATGAATTATGCGCTGATAAAAAAAAAATAATAACAATAATATCAAATTAGCATATAAAAATAAAATAAAATTAGAAAATTATCAGTAAAATTTTAATTTTAAAATTATAAAGTAAGATATTAGTATCAAGGTGTTAAAAATAGAGAAAACATACATTTTTCCCCATTGAAGAATTATGAAAAATTTTAAATAAACATTTATACTATCAATACAGCTGAGTTTATTTAAATTTTTTTTTTCTTTACGTTACTGATGCACGTTGAAACATTATTTATGTATTTTTATTTTTAAAGTTGGACTTGAAGGAGTGATATTTTTACTATATATTTCAAAATTAGAAATTTTTCAAAATTTTCGAGTCTTACGTTAAATCAAACTCAAAGAAAGGTATTTTATTTTTATATATTTTTTCTAAATTTCTTTTTTTTTTTTTGTAAATTAAAATAAAATTTTATTTTTATAACTTTTAAAAATAATTTTCTCGGTATTTAAATTTTTTTTTTTTTTGAATGAAAATAAAAAAGATTTTATTTTTTAAATAATTTTTCTTGACTTTTTTTTTGTCTGTTAACTGAATGAATGTATAAAATTTTTACTTCTCATGAGGAGATATTTATTTAAAAATTATATTCATATATTTAAATTATACTGAATGAATTTTTAATCTTTAATACATTATTATTTTTAATAATGAACTTTCCTTTTAATTTTAATTTCTTTTCAATTACCAATACAGATTTGAGAAAAGAATTGTGTCACCGCCAAGAAATGTAATTTACGTTTAATAAATCAGTGTTTTCATTGAATTTTCCCTCTAGTATTATTAATAATTTTACATATTTCTCTTTTTTGTTTCCTTCCTTAAAATTAAATATATATATATAATAATTGCAAATTATATTATGAATCCATAAATTCATTTTAAAATCTAAAGATATCTCTTTTTATAGGTCGCAATATAATTTTCGTACAGAAATTATTTCGTAAATGGAATCTATTGAAAATTTTGAAGGTATATATACTATATTAATTATTTGAATATTGAATTATATTTTAATTTTTATCTTGTTAAGCGAAATTTTTAACTGAAGGAATTAAAAATAGATTTTAATAAAAATAGATTTTTTCTTAATTGTCATATAACGACTTTTATAGATATTTTTTAGGCTCGAAAAAAAAGAATTTTCTTTTTTATTTTTTTTATTATACCAAAAATAAGCACAATAAATTAAATTAAATATATATATTATTTTTGAATTACAATTTTTATATAAAAAAATATTTATTTACTGAATACTAATGTCAGAACAAGTTTTAAATGTTTCTTGAGGTCCGCAGCCAGTTGCTTCATTTCCGTCTTCACAAGTGCCCCAATTGTTTCCAGCTATATATTCCCATCTGAGAACACAATTTCTGCAAGTTATTCCTCTCGGGAGAATTACCTGAGATTTGTAAATTCCAGGAGGATTATCTCCCATTTCATATCGATCCGCACCGTTTGCAAATTTTAGGGGAATAAAGCATTCTTCCGTTTCGAGTTCACGTGAATGTCGCAAGGGACATAAAGAAAATCTAAAGAAACCACGATGAGTATTTGTAAAATCACTAATGACATCTATTATTTGTCCCTCTCGATATCTATTGTGAAATATAAAAATTATTATTTTTTTTTTAATTATATATTTATAAATTATAAATTTGCAAAAAAAAAAAAAAAAAAAATTTAAACCCAAAATTTTTTAAACAATAATTTAAAAATTTTCAGCCAAATAAATATATTTATTTGTTTTACATAGAATTTATTTGGTTTAAATAAAAATTTTCTTTGCGCTAAATAAATTTTTATTTGTGCTAAATTAAATTTTTTTAATTTGAAACATATAGTTATTTGGCTCTGAGACAAATATAACTTTTATTTTATTCAAATATAAATTTTATTTGTCTGAAATAAAATTATTCTCTGGGTGTTGTAGTTTGAAAAAAATGATTATTTTTTTTACTTTTTTTTTTGTTTATAAATAAATGAAAATTTTTTCCCTTTTTTTTTTGTTTATAAATAAATGAAATTTTTTCACTTACCTCTCGACTATAATTCCCTGGCCAAAAATTCCAGTATTTTCATTTGGTCGCGGTCGACTCTCTCCAAAACTGTCTCCACAGATTCCACATTTTCCATGAAACCAACCATGTTGAACCTAAAGAATAAAATAAAATTTCTAATTTTTTAAAATTCATTTTTCACATAAGTATATTGTATTCAATTATATTGAAAATTAACTCACGCCAACACTGCCACAATAATTTTGATCATCATCATAACAAACTGGAGTTTCAAATCCCCTTCTCCATGCACTTGCCTAATTTTTAATTTAAAAAAATATTTATAAATAAAAAAGTAAAAAATAAATAAACTATTTTATAAATATTTATAAAAAAAAAATCAATGGAAAATGTAAAGAATGTAAAAACCGAAAGATGTGGACTACTTACTAATGATTAGTAAAAAAAATAATAAATTATTAAATATTTATAATTAATTAATAATAATAATTGTAATTAATAATAATAATTTAATTCCTATTTTTTAATTAGAAAATATAAATAAATAATTATTTACAATAAAAATAATTATGAATATTATTCATTATATTAATAAAATATTACTTGCACTATTTACTGGTTGCATCAATTTTCCATGACCGTATATTTCAGAAATTAGAAATATGGACAAAATTATTAATATCTTTCCAAATTGCATTTTCTTTTTTTTTTTTTTTTCTCAAAACAAGAACGTGAGTAATAAATATTCTCAATAAGTGGGAAATTAATTTCATTTTTTTTTTTTGCATTTATATAGGTGCTAAAATGACATGTAATATTTATTTATTTGACAAATAGAAACATATGTGCGTCTTACTTTTGTCCGAGATTTTTGTTAAGAAAAAAAAAATATATATATATGGGTGATTGGGAAGACATAGTCAACCTTTTGGAATTTTGATTTAGACAAAATTCTGAGAGGGACCATTTGGTTAAAAATTTAAAAAAAAATTTTTACAAATTTATAAAAATAAAGATATTTTTTACGTTTTTTGGTTATCCGTAATGCATTCCGTAAAAAAACAAATGGATGACTTCCGATTGAAAGAAATGTTGTGATTGGTTAGTTTAAGAGAAAGTCACTAGAAATTTTCTTTTTTTAATTTGAAAATGTAAACAGAAAATGTTTACAAAATTATTAAATTAAAAAATTAAATGTAAAATAAAAAGTGAAGTGAGTGTAGAAAAATAACCTAAAATGGAATACCAAATGTTTTCTCCGATTTGTTTAACTCAAGGTAAGTAGAGAAAAAATAATTACAAAAAAACTTTCCAGGTTAAGTAGGGTTAACTTGTATACATTTTATAGTTTAAAAAAAAATTACTAACACCTAAATAATTAATGATTTAAAACTAAATAATAAAAATAAATAAAAAAATTCATCAATTAATTAATAAATTTTATTAAAAAACATTGATTTTTTTTTTTAAAATAATAAAATCACTAATTTTATTAGATTAAAAAAAAAATTGATTCTGGAATGAATCTTTCGATTGATTTCAGAATAATTTTTTTTGCAAATAATTTATTTTGTAACGTCAAAATTTTTGTTAATTTTAATAATAACTAAAATAATTAAAAACTGTGAATTTTTCCAATTCTCTTTTAATTAATTAAGCGACAAAATTCAAAATCATTTTTATTATCTTTTTAAATTTAATTAATAATAAAATTCATGAAAAAAACCGTCTGAAAAAAGCTGCCATCTATTGGCGCTTATTGTCAAACAACTAAATTTTTCTAATTTTTTTTTTGACAAAAAATTTTTTGTATCAAATTTTTAGTTTGAAAAATAATGAATTCTCTAATTTTATTGAATTATAAAAAAGAAATTGATTCTGGAATCAATCTTTGGATTGATTTCAGAATCAATTTTTTTTTTGCAAAAATTTTTTTTTGTAACGTCAAAATTTTTGTTAATTTTAATAATAACTAAAATAATTAAAAACTGTGAGTTTTTCCAATTCTCTTTTAATTAATTAAGCGACAAAATTCAAAATCATTTTTATTATCTTTTTAAATTTAATTAATAATAAAATTCATGAAAAAAACCGTCTGAAAAAAGCTGCCATCTATTGGCGCTTACTGTCAAACAACTAAATTTTTCTAATTTTTTTTTTGACAAAAAATTTTTTGTATCAAATTTCTAATTTGAAAAATAATGAATTCTCTAATTTTTTTTTTTGCAAAAATTTTTTTTTGTAACGTCAAAATTTTTGTTCATTTTAATAATTACGTAAATAATTAAAAACTATAAGTTTTTCCATTTCTAGAAGTAGATCGAACACCATAAAATTTTCTGATCTGTTCGCGTAAAATATGTTTAATTTTTTATAGAATCGTCAAATATCAATAATATTTTATTATTTACTATTATATTAATTATTTTTTTGGTGTGATTTTTCAATAATTGGAAAATAAAATTTCATATTTACAAATTATTAAATTAAAATGAATTCACAAATTCTTTTTCTTTATGGGTGAATCTTTCAAAAATGACAAATGCTGAATTAAGAAAAAAAAATTTTAAACCACTGTTATGACTATTGCTATGTGAAGAGAAGGACCTAAATAAGTTTCTAAAATTCGTTGTTACGATCTTCATACAGGGTGTTCCAAAAATATGGGAACTTGCAAATATCTTGAAAAGTACGTATTTTCGTGATACTTTTTTTTCACTATTGGGTCCCGGAACCAATGTTTTGTAATAAAAAATGTAGATCTTTTTTATGGGAACAACTTTTGTTTTGGATATTTTTTACGAAAATGCGTACTTTTCGAGATATTTGCAAGTTTCCATACTTTTGGAACACCCTGTATAAACATTATTGTTTAAAAAATAATTGTTTAATTTAAAATAATTGTTTAATATTTTGTAGTCGATACAATGACGAATCCGTTTAAATCTTGTTACTCGGGGGTTATTGGGGTCCATGATTACGAATCTGGAATCAGTTTTAAAAAATTCAAAATGACAGATACAAAATGGCGGACGACTATCTTTTAAATCTATTTAATTGGCTTCAAAATCGTTAATGAAGGGTTTTCAAGGTCGGTGAACACAAATCTGAAGATAACCAGAGTAACCATTTTCAAGTAAATTGGATGGATGTTAAAAATTGGCGTCCGCCATATGGGATCCGCCATTTTGAATTTTTGAAAACGGAATTGAAAATTGTAATCAGCTGACAAAAATCTTGAAGGAACCATTTCGTTTGATTTTTTTTAACTTTATTATTCGATATGTTCTTTTTTTTACATAGCTCCCTTTGACCCCCTGTATTTCCTAAAGGAGACATATGCTCATCTAGAAATTTTGCAGGGATTATTGGGTCATCATATGTTACCATTTGGCATAAAGAAAGTTTCAAAATTCGAGGTACAAAATAGGTGCATTTTTTGCATGGGGCTTTATAATCGATGGATGTGACTAGCGATCACGGAGGGGAGGTTTATTAATTCTAATATGAAAATATTAAATTAATAAAAAAAGTAATAATAGTATTTGCGATATTTCATACAAATAAAAGAATATTCTGAAAATGATTAATAATATTTATTGTTTATTTATCAAAAAAATGAATTTCATTCACTTCTTTCATGATGTGTACTGACCAAAACAACATCGTCTCTGTAAACACTTTTGAATTCTTCATTTCTCAATTATCAATTTTTTTTTCATTTACTCATTATATTTGTAACCGGTCATGGACGGAAGTTTACTTTGCGAACAAAACTGATTTAATTCTAGGAAAAAATATTTTACAAATATTCTGTTTTACGCTTTATAAGTCAATTTTAAATAATGTAATTAGTAGATGTTACTACACAAAAGATGTTTTCCTATTGCAGTATGAATGCAATAATTCTTCTTTAAATAAAACTTACTTCGCCAACGGTAACGGTGGGGAGCTTTTATGTTATTTTTTAAATTTTAATTAATTAATTAAAGGCAATTAAAAGCATACAATAAACATGTAATAAAAAAATGAGCCAAAAATTCAGAACGTTCGCCGAACAAAAAAAAAATTTGTTTAAAAAAAAATTTCTATTGGAAAATCTTCAGAATGGTGAAAATATACATTTTCAATAATAAAAAATAGATATTTTTAAAAAATAGGGTAAAAAAAACTCCCACTAAGATGAAATATGCAAAACAAAAATCCCCTCAGAGCATGACGCGCTCGAACCCCTAAAACCACCCCTAACGCATATAGCGCATGCAAGACCTTAAATTGGTCAATTTCACGACTTTCCTGTTTGCCTTTGTTACTAAAAATATTTTCAAAAATTCTTTATTATTACCCCCTTCCAAAATCAATATTCGGTATAACGCGTTTTTGGGGTTCGAGCGCGTTATACCGAAAATGGATATAGGAAGAGGGTAATAAAAGAGAATTTTTAAAAATATTTTTAGAAAAAAAGGCGAACAGGAAAGTCGTGAAATTGACCAATTAAAGGTCTTGTATGTGATATATGCGTTAGGGGTGGTTTTAGGGGTTCGAGCGTGTTATACCGAATATGGATTTTGGAAGGGGGTAATAAAAGAGAATTTTTGAAAATATTTTTAGAAAAAAAGGCGAACAGGAAAGTCGTAATATTTTTATATTTCATCTTAATGGGGGTTGTTTTTACCCTATTTTTTAAAACTGTTTATTTTTTATTATTGATATTGTATTTTTTCACCATTCTGAAGATTTTCCAATAGAAAATTTTAAAAAAAAATTTGTTTTTGTTTGGCGAACGTTCTGAATTTTTGGCTCATATAAAAAAATGAACATCTAGTTACGCATAAGTTGAAAACTGTCAAATAAAGGGTTAGTAAATATTAAAAATGTGGGCTTGCATTAAATGCATTAATGAATGTCCTAAACATTCAAATAAAGAAGCCTATTTGGTCCCTATTGAAGATGTGGAAATTGAAGATGTAGATGCATTAAATAAATCTACATCTTATATTGTTAAGTGCCCTGGAGTGAGTTCTGAAGATGAACGAATTTCGTGCTTAGCGAGGATTGCTTTTATTGAAAAAGGTTAGTGAGAAAGGAAGTCAAGGAAAATTTTTTTTCTTTAGCATTTTTTGATTCGAGTGAGAACAACAAAGTTAAAAAATTTTTTATAATTTTTAATTTTCAAAAATTTTCATTTTTCAAAAAAAAAATTTTTTTCAATTTTTTTTGGAAAAAAAAAATCAAAGGAAAAATTTTTTTTCTTTAGCATTTTTTGATTCGAGTGAAAACAACAAAGTTACATGTCTATCTGTCTGTATGTATGTATGTATGTATGTCTCTCTGTAGGCAAAATTACTTTATTTTGAGAAAACATGAGCAACTATGTATTATCTCTGTTTAAACCATCTTAAATTGACACAAATATTAATAACTTACTCACAAAATTCCGAATTTTTTTTTTTTTTTTTTTTTTTTTTATAAATTTAACTATTGTTTTCCATTTCTAAACATTGCAATTGTTTTCAAAAAATCCTCTATTTTAAAATAGTTTATATTGTGCTGTTTATACCAGAATTTCGTATTTCTTCGATTATTTACTTTTGAATTGGTTTAAATTCATTTATTTGTAGATTTTTTAAATTCTCATCATAAGTGAGAAAGTATTCGTTTTTGTCGATTTTGACTTTTTTCAAATTTTAGTGAAGCTGTACGTTTTGAGACCTCTTGATGCCAAAAAAGTATGTTTTGAGAACCTGTCCGTCTGTCTGTCGTCTGTAGTCTGTCTGTAGACTCTTTTTGTCCCCACGATAATTTGTACATATCGTAACGAATCGATTTGATATTTGGTACACGCTTTCAACAAGTAAAAATGAAGCCTGAGTTCGTTGGATAGACTAATCCGCCCAAAAATGCAGAAATTTATTCAAATTTAAAATTTTTAAATAATTCAATTCTTCTCAAAAAATTTTTTTTTAATTTTCTCTTAAAATATTCCCAAAAGTAAACTTTTTTTTCTTTAACACTTTTCGATACAGATTAAAACAAAAAAGTTATGTTCTATAATGTTTAAGGTAACAAAATTTTTAATTATTTTCGATGTGTTATTTTACTCATTAATTTTTTGTGGCACAGTTTTAACCTATTTTGCCACCTTTTCTTTTAGCAACATTCCTCTCTAGATTTAAAGTTTTTGAAACAGTATTCATAAAACATTTTTTCTACTATAACGAAAGCATTGTGAAGTAAAACAAAAATAATAAGCGTTGCAGGCAAAATTATAAAGAATTATAAATTAACTAAGTATAAACATTGGTATTTTTAAAAAAAATTCATTTTTCAACAATCTTTTTAGCAAATTTAAATAAATCTTTCTACTCCTTGTTTTTTTAGGTCGCTCATTACGATTCTGAGGTTAGTTTTTAAAAATTCAAAATGGCGTATTGAAACATTTTTGACGCGATATTTTTAGCATTTAAAGCATTTGAGTGTCCCGATCAAATAACTCGACCGACGCTCGGACGAACGCTCTAATACCAGTCAAGTAGCAGTGACAGCCTGTGGGCGGCTCACTGCTACCCGACTACCATTAGAGCGTGCGTCCGAGCGTCAGTCGAGTTATTTGATCGGAACACTCATTTGAAAAAATTAAAAAAACTGAACAAAACTTCTAAAAAAAATCTTCTTTTTACTGCTTGTAAATTGTTTATTTAAAAATTTTCGGTTCTTTTAGTACACTATTTGATAGAGCCTCAAAGTACCTGTAAAAATTTCGTTAATGGGTGCCTACTTTTCCTATTGTATGTTTCTAATTTTCGAGCGTGAAACGCGAGTGTCGTGATGAGAATGTTAGCCTTAAAGTCATAGTACTTTAAGAAAATGAAATTTAATTTATAAAAACCAAAAATTTCACTTATATAAATTGTACAAAAAATTTTTATGAATAAAAACATGAGGGCAAAACCTCATATAATAAATTTGTTGCTTTAAAAATGCATTTACATTAAAGTTCTTTTTTTAATGTTTTTAATTTTTCAATTAATTTTTTCTTTTACTCAATTGATATTAGTTCGAAGCGGAATATCTTATTTTAGTAAATAATTTAGTTTGTCGATTTTCGTTAATTACAAAGACCTGGCCAATCCACGGCGCAAAATTAAGGAACTAAGTTTGAACAGCTGCAGTATCAATTTCGGACCACGAAGCGGGACGATCATCCTTTGCGAGCCCCTACGCGCGAAGCGCGTGATGAGAATGTGTCCGCCCCCGCAGGGGGCTGCCGGATTTTTTTATCTAATTTAGTTAAACAATTTTGTTTAAAAAATCGATTTTTAATTAAAAAATACCGCCATTCGAAGGAACTTGGAAAAATAAGCAATTTTTCTCTTTACAACTTTTTTATCAGTCTACTCCTTTTTACAAAAATTATTATGAACTTTATCAAGATTCGCGGTAGAGAATCGACGCCAATTAAAAAAAAATTTTCCGCAAATATAATATAATTATTTTCTCTAAATATTGTCATTTTTCGACCGAAATTTCGATTTTGTTCAATGCTTTTTTGCAGGGTAAAAACTGTAAAAAAATCATTTCTGTTGTGAAAATGGTAGTATTCACAAAAAATTATGAAAATTAGGCTTAAAAAACTTAAAATTTTTTGAATTTTTTACTTTTAGCCACGCCTGTAGCCTATACAGTTTAACGGATTCGCATGAAACTTACAAATAATATTTATTAGGTTATAATCGCGATATACATTATGTAAAAAAAAAATAATTTTGATTTAAATATAAATAAGAGTTAATAATTATCAAAATAATTAATTGAAATCAATTTTTATTATCGTACGCGCAGTTATGAAAACTTGGCGTGAATTATTTTGGAGTATTTTATAATAATATTTATATTCTCCATTAATTTTTCGTTAATCCACTTGCAGTAGTATATGTAAAAAACAATTCGCATCAAATTTTCATTATTTCTTACCGTGCGGTATAGTAATACTTTTTCGGAGCTTTTAATAAAATCATTTTCCCTAAGTTTAAAAATTTTTCAAATCTGCTGCAATTTCGTGAAAAAAAATTCAGAATTAAAAATATTTTTTTTTTAATATCATATAGGATCCCATGCTAAAGCTACGTGTAGGATGTGGAAAAAACGGAAAAGTTTTGCTCCATTGACGACAGAAGAGATTAAACAATCAATTTCAAGCGAAGAGGAGGATGCTGAAAATGTAAGAATATTTTTAAATAGACTGAGAAACTTTTGATGAGATTGTTGGTTTCTCATACTTGCTACCTAGCGCTCTCTGTCTCAGGTTTTAAGATTCTGCCCATACTTTTGCAATACTTTCGAACTTCAAAAAATTTAACGATAAAAGTGATTTTAAAAAAATTTAAATTTTTCATTAACCGACACTTTTTTAATAGTTTGAAATTACGCTAGTGAAAATAAACACGTGTAATTACTGATATCGATTTGGACATGTAAATATATGTGTAATACACATGTAAATATACACGAGGAAAAGTTTTTACACGTGTAATAAATTTTTTCTTATGTATTTACACATGTAAATAAAAATTATTACTCGTGTATATGAACTTTTCCTTGTGTATCTACACGTGTATTTACATGTCCAAATCGACACGTGGAATTACACGTGTTCATTTTTAATAGGGTAGAGAAATTTTACTAAAAAGTCAGATATTTTGAAGAAATTCATTTTTTGGAGACCACCTAAGTAGAAATATGCCACTGGCATAGTACTGATCCAACACTGCCAGTCAGTATAACAGTACTGACTGTCGTACTGGACCAGTCCTGGCTTGTGTACTTTCTTTATTTTTTAACTTTTCGTTTTTTTAAGGGAGAGTGACACCTTTGACCCGAAAAAATCGATTTTTTTTGCTTAAACGATAGTTTAAGATGTGTAGAATAGAAATTATATCAGGAGTAGTGATTTCGAAGTTATTTTATGTTAAAAAAATCGAAATCTACAGAAGGTGTCCTATAACGCTGCCAGTGCTTGTCAAAACTTTAAACGCGTTTTTCTCGAAATGACATTTTTCAAAACTGTGGGCAGTCTAGCTGAAACAGTTCTGATCGGATTGACTTCGACCAAATATTTTTTTTATCGTCATTTACTAATGCTTTAGAGTACGTAGCGGACTTTTTTTGGTTTGTTTTTTTTAGCAATAGATTTTTTGAAAAAATTTCGCCCTAAAAATCGACTTTTTCCTTCAAATAGCTGCCAAATCCACAAAAATCAATCACAGATTCAGAAAAAATTTGAATTTTTGTTTTATATTAAACGGTCTAACCGAAATCTTGCCCACCGATTTGTCCTGTAGAGAAAGGGGATCAACTTTGGCGCCCTCTATAGACAACAAATTAAAACTTTTTTTAAGTATAAATAAATTTTCATAAATTGAAAAAGTTAACAAATAAAGTTCTCGAAACCAAATTTTTTTTTACTTTATTCTTGTGTCTTAAACAAATTCATGAAAAACAGGTTCAAAAGAGACCTCAAAGGTGTCACTCCCCCTTAAATGTTGTTGATTTCAATCATATGATTCAAGTTTTGTAAAAAAATTACTTAATAGAACTCTTTTAAAAACATTTCAGGAATTAATTGAAAAAGAAAAAGAAAAATAGAAAAATTGAGGAATTCGTTCGGAGGAAGAGCTGCTCCAAAAAAAAATATAAGAAGAACGATGATGAGGATTATGTTCCAAATAATTAAAAAAAATTTAAATTTATAAATTAATTATATTAATTTTTATTATATTTTTATTATATTTTTATTATATATATGCAATTGACAACAAAATGTTTTTTTATTATTATTGTCACTTCTTTTTTGGAGATTTAAAATTATTTACATTATATTAATTTCAGTGCGTAAAGTAAATTTTAGTGCGTAAAGTGAATCACTTTACACACTGCTTTATAAAGAGCTTCTTTACACACACTTTTCGCTATGTAAAATTTAACTGAACACTTTGCTTTTCCGTGGAGATTTTTTGTGATTAATTTATGGTAACTTATTTAGTATTATAATAATTTTAAATCGGTGTTAAGTTGCATTTTTTAGGCGTTTGCAGAGATAGATTTTTAACATCAATAACTTCGTAATATTTTACAATAAAAGGTTCAATAATAGGTCAATTGTGTTGTTTTTAAATAATCTCCAAGTTGTTCGTAATATTTTTAAATATATATAAAGATTTTTTAATAAGTAATGCCATCTCTCTATTAGAATAATTTCAATTGTATAGAATTAAATAAATCAATCGAAGATCAGGAAAAATATCATTAAGCAGGAGTGTATAAATTTAATAGTAAAGTAATATTTCAGTGCGTAAAGTGAATCACTTTACACACCGTTTGAAAAAGAGCTTCTTTACACACACTTTTCGGTGTGTAAAATTTAACTTTAGAGGTTAGTGTTGCAAAAAGGTAAGTTTTTTAAAATTGTCAATTTCAGATGTTAATTTAATTACCCAACCAAAAATTTCAGTATTATACCAGAATTCACTACTGGCACAGTACTGGTATTTTCATTGTATCAGTACTGTTGCAGTACCACCCTCCTAGTACTGGCAAACTGACAGTACTTGGTCAGTACTGGCCCAGTATTACTTATCAGTAATATAACAGTACTGATTTTTAATACAATCCCAGGTGCGAATTCCGGTCGATGGTTGGTTGGCCCATGGTCGGCCCAACCAGGGCTGCATGAGAGTCGGCCGCCCCAGTTGGGCCGACTGTGGGGGATAATGATCGACATGACTATGGCAGCCACAGTTGGACCAACCTTGGCCGCCCTAGTTGGGCCGACTATGGAGAACAATGGCCGGCATGACTAGGGCACCCACAGTTGGGTCGACTATGGGGAACTATGGTCGGCATGACCTTGGCAGCCACAGTCGGTCCAACTGTGGTTGCCATAGTTTGGCCAACTGTGGCTGCCGACCGTCGTCTCCAACCCTAGGTCGGTTGACGTTATCAATTCGCTAGTTGGCCCGTCCTCTGGCTGCCCAAGGTGGGCCGACTGAACACATGGTTGGCCCAACTTTGGGCCGACCGCCAACTCGCACCTGGGATAATACAAAAATTTAATACTGAACCAGTAGTGGTTACCAGTACTGGTGTCAACTCTGGTAGCCAATACTGCTAAAATGTTATCATCCCAAAGTTACTTCAACTCTGGCGCCAATACTGGGTGCCAGTACTGAGCCAATACTTCTCAGTACTGCGACAGTACTGCGCCATTAGTAAATTTTTTATTGGGTAGAATTCTATTAAACTCGGTTACATTTTTATATATTTTTTTATTCAATTTCGAAAATTAGGATCAGCTAAGTGTAAACTGAGTATACAATTTAGGAAAATTTAAATTATTTATAATTATCTTTGTTTATGTTTAGAAAAGTCTTACGAAAAGCATTTAATTTGATTTCAGATGTAAAGTTCATTTGAACTTGGCTAAATATTAATATTTTTCAACCAACTTTGCAGAAATCAATTCTGTAAGTTGAAAAATTAGTGGAAAAAGTGTAAAATATTTTCAGAATTTTTCACTATTTTATTTACAGCTTCCTATGAGTTTTAATTGATGTTACTAATAAACTCACTAGAACTCGGCCAAATATTAATATTTTTCAACCAACATTGCAGAAATCAATTCTGTAAGTTGAAAAATTAGTGGAAACAGGGAGAAAAGTGGAAAATATTTTTAGAATTTTTCACTGCTTTAGTTAAAGCTCCCTTTGAATTAAATTGATTTAACAAATAACACGCACTTGAACTCAGCTAAATACCCTATGTATTTTCACGTGTAGATTACAGAAAATATATAGCGAACCTGGTTGAAATTGATTATCATAGCGTTATCAAGGAAAAATCATGAATTTTTACAAAAAAAAATGACTATGTACCCCCTCTTTTAGTGGCCACATCTTCTGACATAGAGAGTTCAAATTTGGTACACTAATGTATTTTTACGTGAAAATTACAGGAAAAATATAGCGAAATTTGATTCGGATCAATTTACATACCGTTGTCAAGGAAAAATAAAAAATTTCGAAAAAAGGATTTAATTTTCCTAGCGCACACAATATTCAACCCAGACAGTTCATATTTGGTGTGCAAATGTATTTTTGCGTGAAAATTACAGGGAAAAAATGTGAGCACGATTGGAGTTGATGATCAATTTTTAAAGAAAAATTATAGTTTTAGAAAAAAATGTATTTTTCCACTAAAAACGAAGAAAATTTTATCAGAAGTGATTCAAATTTATACATTTATACGTATTTTTACGTGCAGATTAAAAAAATACAGCGAGGACGATTGGAGTTGATGGTTCTGGTGCTGTCAAGAAAAACTTATAATTTTATAAAAAAATCATGAATTTTCTCCCAATAGCGAAGAAAATTTATATTTAAGGGGATTCAAATTTATTCATTTTCACGTATTTTTATGTGTAGAGTATAAAAATAATTTAACAAATATAATTAGCAGTTGTCTTAAGTCAGTTTTTTTCGAAAAATGTGTATTTTTTCCAATTTTTTTCTCTTCCTCATATTATTTCTCTTTTAGTTTGATACGGTTTGATATTTTTTTCACATTTTTTAAAGAAATTTTTTATTTTAAATGAAAACAAAATCCGGCAAGTGCGAGTTACACTCTTACTGTAATCGAGGGTTCCGTACACGAAGCGAACTTATTTGGTATAAAAACAAATGTTTAAAGAATGTAAATTTTGTATGTCGAATAATGTAAGTAAGAAGAAAAGGAACAATTTTTTTAAATATTTAAAAAAAATTGTTCCTTTTTGTATCTCTTATAATATTTGACATACAAAACTTATATTTTTTAAACATTTGTTTTTATACCAAATAAGTTCGCTTCGTGTACGGAATCATCGCTTTCAGTATCCGATTTTTTGTTAATTTAATAAAATTACATAGATAATATGTGACCGGGTCTGAGAAAACGTTGTTATCGATCAAAAAGTCTATTTTTTATGATGGTTTCTTATAGTTTAAAGTCCTAAAAATACAATGCAACTAGTCATAAATATAAAAAAAAATTTTGCATTTGTTTAAACAAATTAAAAAAAAATTTTATTTCGAAAAAATTTTTTTTTTGAAAATATAAATAATTCTAAGGCAAAAATCACTATTAGTATTTTTGCTTAAAATAAAAAATTCAAAAAATTAAATTTTTCAAAATTGACGAAAAATTCGATCTAAATCCTCGAAGATGATCTCCAGGTATACCCGTCATCGGCGACCTGGTTGTCCAAGTGTTAAGAATATTTTCTAAAATTTTAGACATGAATTTCAAAACCATTAACAAAAAAATTCGAGCTAAATTCTTGGCGATGATCCTTAAATATGCTCATCATCGGCAACCTGGTTCTGTAGGTAAGAAATAACCATGGTTTTGTTGTGCGGTTGTCAGTTCTGAAGGAGCATACAAAATTTTTGACCTCTAGAACATCAGCGAGTCGTTTAAATTAAAATTAAAAATTTTAAATTTAATTTAATTTAATTAATAATAATAATAATTAATAATAATTAATTAATTTAATTTTAAAATTTTTTTTAATTTTTAATTTAAATTTTAAAATTTAATATTTTGATTTTTGCAAAACAAATTGTTTATAACAATAACACTGATGTTCATCAAATTATTTAACCATAAAAATCGTGTTCAGCATAAAAAAATACATAAGGAACACTTATCTAGGTCCTTTCAAATATAAAATGTTTCAAGAAATCTATTTTAATTAGTTGTAAAACTTTCAACGCGTTTTTTTCTAAAAGTTGATTTTGGTCGATAGCACCGTTTTCTCAGACTCGGCCATATATGTTCTTTCAAAAAAAAAAATTTAATTTGATAAAAAAAATTTTCTATATTTATCGTATTGTTTTAAATTATCTCGCGATTTTATTGTGATAAGTTTCAAAAAACAAAAGCAACATAGCGTTGCTAAGGATACGTAAATAAACAGTTGATTCTTTTTCAAGTGGCTTGACTGATTAAAAACATTTATTTTTTCGTTAAAATAATTTGTGAACAGACTTATTTTTGTTGGTAAGTAGTTTTCTATTTTGTCATTAAATTAATTAAAAAAAAAATAAAATAAAATTCTTTGAAAAAAAATATTTCAAAATAAAGAATTTAAAAAAAAATTTTCTCCTTCTTTACTTTCAGAAATTTATTTTCAGAAAAGCAAATGTATTGCAAAAATATGAAAAAAAAAATTTTTTTCTATGCAAAATTTATTTTTTAAAGAATTGCAAAAATATTGCAAAAAGTGTAAAAAAAAGTTAAAAATTTTTTTTCTGTATCCCCTACCCGAAAGTACGGACTTCCCAGTCGGTAATTGCTCCGGGAACAGCGGCTTTTGTGGCCGACTCGAGCAAACGTGCGCTCTGATTGGCTACGAGATTTTCGTGGCTTGATAGCATAGCAACCACATAGCAACGCTTATTTTAGGGCCTGTGTTGTGACCGTGTGACGTGAACTAAACATAACCTCAAAATTCATTCAACGTTTAGTGTATAAAAGACGTTAAAAATGGAAAACTCTTCGTCTGAAGGTTCCTCGGACGAGGAAGAGATGTTGAAAAATTTTGACAAAGAGGCAGATATTATTGTCCAAAGTGGAACGCTCCCACAAAAGTCTTCCGATCGGTACCTGCTAGTATACACCACGTACAAGAAATGGCGAGAGCAGAATAAAAATTCACTGTCCAACTCGGAAGAAAAAAATTTAATTGTTTATTTTTCGCAACTGAAAACAAAACTGAAACCAACA